GGTGAGTCTCTTATCTAACCTTGTAAGAGGGAATTGTCCCCATATGTGATATATCAAACAATTTGCCATTAAATGCGGCGGCTACGTACGCACAAGGGGACGAGAGTCCGTGCGTAGCTACTAATATGCTAAGTCCGGGTAGTCCAGGACCCAAAAGCGTGCTTTATGTGATGTTCTTGTAGCTTTATGTTTAATTTGGATTGTTTAAATCATGGTGATTATGGTAAATGAGACTAGTAATAGGAACATTATCATTCTTGGCTTTTTAAAGAGAAGTTGATATTTCTGTGAGTGATAGATCCCCAATTATATATTCTTGTCTACTTGTTGTTGTGTTTAATTACATTTGACCGTGTCGCATGTTTGATTCGCGAGCGGGGTAATAGATACATCTATGGTTCGTGCCGTTCGACCCTCGGCAGTGCACAATTTACTTCTATGTTGGATCGGGCCGTACGACCTCGGCACTACTTGCGCATGCTTTACTCAGTAGTTTTCTATAAATTGAGCTTTATTATTTGCCCTGAGATGTAAGTGGCCAACTGTGATATTATCTAGGAGAGGACCTGCTATTTCTTGCTATAAACTGTTAATTATTTGTACTATCCATGCTCAGTATAATTCATTTCTCATAATATTTGACTAGTAAGTGTCAAGTCGACCTCTTGTCTCTACTTCTTTGAGATTAGACAGGATACTTACTGGGTACATATTGTTTATGTACTCATAATACACTTCTGTACTTAATTGTACAGGATCTGAGGCAGGTACATCTGGTTACTACTCTGGTGCGCATCCTTGATCAGTGTCCAAGACTTCCACGATGAGCTGCTCCCTTCCTGTGCCGATCAGCAGCATGATGGAGTCTCTCTTTATTTTGGCTATCTATTCTATTTCAGACAGTAGGATAAATTTATTTCCTTGTATATTCTACTAGTTTCCCGTAAACTTGTGACACCATGTGATGACCCAAAAGGTCATCACTTGTTTTTAAAATGAATTCTGCATTTCAAGGCCTTAAAAACCTCTTTTACCATCACCTTGATTTACGTGCGTAGTCCGGGCACGTAGCCGAAAAGCCTATATGTGAAAATATGTGAAAAATGATAAATTTTGACTATAAAATGAATTAATTTGACTTCGGTTAACCTTTTGGGTAAACGGACCCGGACCCGTGATTTGATGGTCCTGGAGGGTCCGTAGGAAAATATGGGACTTGGGTGTATGCCCGGAATCGAATTCCGAGGTCCCAAGCCCAAGAAATGAATTTTTAAAGAAAATTGTTTTCGGAGTTTAAAGGATTTGGAAATGAATTCCGATTAGAACATGTTGGTATCTGGCCCGTATTTTGGTTCCGGCGCCTGTACAGGTCTTATATGTGATTTAAGACAATTCTGTGAAGTTTGGTAAGAAACGGAATCCATTTGACGTGATTCGGACCTTAAATACAAATTTGATATTTAAAGAAGTTATGAGAAATTTTATTGATCTTGAGGCTAAATTCGATGTTCATGATGTTATTTTGGTGATTTGAGTACACGAATAAGTCCGTAGGATGTTTTTGAGGTTGGGTGTATATTTGGTCTGGAGCCCCGAGGGCCCGGGTGAGTTTTGGATAGGCCACGGGGTGCATTTTGAACTTAGAAAATTGCAGGTTTTTCAGCTGTGCATAGCAGGCCTGCAGGCTTCGCATGCTCGCAAATGCGATATCGCAAATGCGAGCGGCTTGTCGCAATTGCGAAAGAAGCCCAGGGCAGCTCCCTTTCGCAAATGCGAGATTTTCTTCGCAAATGCAAAGTTTCCCATTTGGCCAGTGATCGCAAATGCGACCTATGTGTCGCAAATGCGACATTGTTTTCGCATATGCAAAAGCCCAGCATTTCTGAAGGGTTCGCAAATGCGAGCCGTGATTCACATTTCCCAGCTTAGCAGAGGTCGGGGTTCACAATTGCGAACCCCTATTCGCAATTCTCACATCTGAGACCTGCAACTTTTATACTTAGCCTAATTTTTAACCCATTTTCATATCCTCTCAAAACATAAATACACTTAGGCGATTTTTCAAAGGTTTCTTCTTCTCCAAATCAATTGTAAGTCGTTTTTAACTAACTTTCTTCAATTCTTAACATCTTTTGGGTAGAACCTAGGTTTTTCAAAAAAATGGGGATTTGGACCTCGATTTGAGGTCCGATTTCAAAATAAATTATATATTTGAGTTCGTGGGGGAATGGTTGATTGGGTTTAGGTTCGAACCTCGGGTTTTGACCATGCGGGCCCGGTGGCAATTTTTGACTTTTTGGGTAAAACTTTGGAAAATTAAGTATCTTGTGACTAGATACGAACGAATTAGGGTGGAATCGAGGGGTAAAGGTATAGTTAAGGCGTAAATTGTGTTCGTGGCATCGAGGTAAGTGTTTGGTCTAACCTTAGCTTGAGGGATTAGGAGTTGAGTCCTATTTGCTATGTGGTAATTGTTGAGTACAACGTATAGGCATGGTGACGAGTACATATACGTTGGTGTCTAGCATGCCCGTGGGTCTTATATTGTGATTTTCATGATTTTGTTGTATCTTTCATGCCTTGGTGATGGTTTCTATATGTTGTGTAAAGTTTGTGGAAGGAATTGTGACCTATGAACATTGAGGAGCGTTGGCTCAAGTTGTGTAACGAATTCTGAAAGTGTAAGTGATAATTGAATCTCTAGAGCATTGGCTCGAGTTGTGAAGTGAATTGTGAAGTAAAAGTGAGAAAGAAAAGAAGTTATTATGTTGACACCCTTGTCGGGCTATTGTTGATTTATTGGTTATCTCCCTTGCTGGGATGTAGATATTATTGATGTTGTTCCCTTGCCGGGATTTATTTGTTGAATTGTTGTTCCCTTGCCGGGATCTTTATTGCAATTTCATTTATTTCCTTTCCCTATTGATTGTGATTGTTGTTTGGGTGAGGAAGAGAGTTAAAGCACGAAGGGTGATGCCGTGCATTGTTATTTTGTGAGGAAAGAGTATAAAGCACTATGGGTGATGTCGTGTATTATTATGAGGAAAGAGTGTAAAGCACGAAGGGTGATGACGTGTCGTACGATGTACCAATCCGCGCTGATTTTATTGATTATATGGTGAGGAAAGAGAGTAAAAGCACGAAGGGTGATGTCGTGCACACTTTTATTATATGATTGCTGGTGCGGACGAGAGTAAAAGCACGAAGGGTGATGCCGTGCATTTATTGATTTCTGATTCTTTGTTGATATCCGAGTTATGTTGTTTCTTTAGTTTATTTGATATCTTTCTATTCGGATTTGTTATCTCCCCCACAACATGCTCTCCCTCCCATTTTGACTGGTTATTTCTGTATTTCTTTTCCGCTGTATATATTTGAACTTCACAGGTTTATGTGGTAGTCTGGTCTAGCCTCGTCACTACCTCGCTGAGGTTAGGCTAGGCACTTACCAGCATATGGGGTCGGTTGTGCTGATGCTACACTCTGCACTCTTTTGTGCAGATCCCAGTGCTGTTGACTTCGGACCGTAGTTTGGAGGCCACCTTCAGTCCATGCGAAGATCCAAGGTAGACCTGCAGGTGTCCGCAGGCCCTGGCGTCTCCTCTATCCTTATTTTCTGTTTCATTTTCCATATATTCAGAAACAATGTATTGATATTTTCTTCAGACTTCCGCTTAAATTTGAATTTCTGCTGTTATCACGTTATCGCCTTATAATTGTTAAAAAGAAATAATTGGGTAATGAAGTAAGTAGTTAAAGGTTTGGCTTGCCTAGCTCACATTAGTAGGCGCCATCACGACTCCCGAAGGGGGAAATCTGGGTCGTGATACACTAGGTCTTGGCGCACACAGTGGTAGACTATTCTTTTGGGGTTGTATAACTATTTTTGTACATTGCTAATTATCACATGCTTTTTAACTTCAAATTTAGAAATTTCTGTACTTGTTTTTAGTAAAGTGAAAATGAGAACTTATTAATACTTCCGCGTTGGCTTGCCTGACAAGGGTGTTGGCGCCATCATGACCTATAATGGAATTGGGTCGTGACAACTATTCCATGTTTTCCGACATATTTGTTTCAGACTACCTAGAAATAATCGGAATGCAGGGGCGGCCAGATCCTAAAGCAAGTAAAGCACTTGGTTTAGGCCCCAAGAATTTAAGGCCCCAAAATTATTACTCGATTTGTTTATACTTAATATATTATTTATATGTTATTCCTGTGATTGATAAATTTATTTCTTTTTTGTCATATTTATTTTTAATAACTCAATTTCTTCCTCTAATTAATATAATCAAAATAGTTTTCTGTCAATTTTATTTTACGTTTTTACTGAATTATATTTCTTTATTCATTAGTTAGTCACATAACTATATCTAATAATGTAACTCATCATTTATTTTTCTCACATAAATTATATTCTTTTTGTCCCAATTTATATGAAAGTGTTTGACTTGACAAGGAGTTAATAAAATAAAGGAAGACTTTTGATACTTATGATCTAAAACAAATAATATCATAGAAACTTGTGTGGCTAGAAATTATCTCATCAAGGATAGAGAGAACATTAAAGTTGAATTATTACTAAATATAGAAAGGGGACTCACTAAAAAAAGGAGTCACATAAGTTGGGACGGAGGAAGTATATTTTCTGGGTTCTCTCATTTCAGTTGTGATGCAATAAACGCTAAATTCATTCAGTTTTTTTTGTATTTTATAAAACCAAATTCTCCTTTTTTTCTTTTCATTCCACATGCTCGTCTAATTTCCAAAAAACGATGCTCATGAATGCATACATACATACGCCTCTTACCAAGGCTTTGCTTTAGGCCTCGGAAGTTGTTTAGTCGCCCATATCGGAATGTAGTAAAAAAAAAGATTTTTAAACTACTTTCCGACTATTTTGGTAGTCAGAAAACGGTGTTTTCCTGGCAGTGATATAGCATGAGACCATAATTGTTTCATACTTGTTTTGGGGAGAAAAAAAACAAAACAAAACAAAACAAGAAAGAAGCAAATTCGATAATTCAAGAAATGAGGTTACATTGAATTTGTCATGGCAAAGCTTTTGAATATTTTTTCGGGCAATTTTCTTCACAACCTTGTTGTTGTAGCCAACATCCATCTGGTGCATCTCTACAACACCAGCAAACTCCACCTTTACAATTTCTCTTGATGCAGACATCAATGTTTATCTTCTCTCCTCCAAGGACTTTGCGACTTGTATCCACGGGCATCGCCATCGTCGTGGTTACGGGTTCGACAGAACTCAATAGCTTTGACCCAAACCCTAAATTTGTATTACAAAATTAAATTTAATATGTATAAATAATTTGTTCAGAACCAATAAAGTAAAAATTATGTTTATATCCCAATCAACCCTTTGGACTAATGTCCTTTCATTGTCTTTATATGCAAATCATTAATGTCATTGTGCTAGACTAAGGTACAATTTTTGGAGAACTTCATTTAAGTAAAACTTTTAACTTTTAAATGCACCAGAGAAGACTTCGGGCCACCTAAAAGATAACTAGCTAACTCTTGATTTGTTAAATTAGTAACGAAATAAGTTAATTTACCCTAAATAGATTTCAAATATCACTAGAAAATGGTATATAACATGAAACTGTAAAAGATGCTAATAGCGTTGATAAAATAAGATGGACATAAGATAATTAGAAATTCATTACTAAAAAGTCAGGAATTTTAACGACGAATAAATTATGTAGATAAATAACAAAATTCATCGCTAATCATATTTAGTGATGGATTGCCGATAGATTATCAAAATGTTCTATTAGCTATGAATAATTTAGTGATAAATTAACGACGAAGTTCATAACTAATTTCAGTTTTTTAATTGTGATTCTAGAGGGTATGAAGAGCCCAAGCCACATTTACCTTCAGTATCTTTTGAAAATATAAGAACTAAGTAAAAAAGAACGAAATATCCCATGTTTACGATTACAGTAGCCATAATCTGAGAATTTCAAACTAACGTATAGATACATGAGTTAGTACTCCTTGCTTAAATAGTAAATTTTAATTTTTTATAATAATTTTTAATCTATTTATTATTAATTTTAAATATTATGATATAACTAATTTAATTTTGCTTTAGCTTTGTATATTTTCTTTGCTTAGTTTTAGTTAAATCTTTGGTTGATCTCACTTAAAACTATTTTGTGGCCTAAATTAATTAAATTATTTAATAATTTTCTTTTTATCGGTCTTAAGCGCCGTGCTTCTACGTCTGTTTCATATGATTATGCAGAAACGATATGCATTTTAGAAATATCTCCTGTATTTTGTTTACTGATATTCTATACCCCCTCCGTGTCCATAATAGGTGCTTTTTTTGCCTTTTTCTTTGGTCCAAAATAAGTGTCCTTTATATAATCAAGAAAAAAAATATTCAAAATTTGCCCTTATTTACATATCTCAATGTATCAAGGTAACAATATGCAAATTTTAATTAAGGATAATCTAGTGAATATATAATTTTTTCTCTAGGAGTCCGTAATCTTCTTAAGGGCGGTGCCAAAGCCCAAACGCCAAAAAGTCACTTATTATGGACCGGATGGAGTGTTCGTTTATTTTTACTAATCTCTAGTGAAAATTACTGTAGACCAAATCTTCCTCAAATATTTATTCAAAAAGAATAATTAATTAACTTAATAGCCGCTCACACAACCACTTAAATTAATATATATATATNNNGGGGGGGGAAAGGGTATGGTCATTTTATGTGTGTTACCATCCACAAATATCAATTAGAACAAGAAAATAGCAAGTAAACCGTAAATCCAATCAGCTATTTGTGTAAAGATCCCTGTTAAAATTCCTTAAAGTCTAAACAAGCCAAAAGAGGTTTAAAAAAGAAGCTACCTTTGATTAAAGAATTATTGGGAGAATTATGCGAGCATTCCTTTCCACAGGATATGTAACATCCAGGATTTTGAAAACATGAAGGAATACAATCCCTAAAGCATTTTTGATCCAAATCACATGATACTTGTGAAGTAGAAATCAACATTAGCAATATTGCCATCAATGGCATAATATTGGCATCAATCTTCTTTCCCATTTCTGACTGATTTGTTTGTTCTCAGTTTATGTTCTTGTGGTTTGATATGATGGTTCTGCTTATATATATAGAGAGATATTATTGATATTGCTAATCTTGTATAATATTACTGCTATCCTATAATGTGGAATTTAAAGAATATAATTTAATCAGTTGCCATATTTGAAACAGCAAATCTGTTCTATATATGTTAATATATTAAATATTGCAAGATTGACATATATTTGTCTACAAAAGATAAGATTGAAACAAGTTAATGAGTCTTAACAAGCATGCATAATTAGCAAAGGAGGTCGAAGGCTTACAATATTAAAAGTACAAATTCAGGGATCTTTACACAAATAGTCGGATTTACTATTTATTTTCCTAGCTGCTGTGATTATCAATTTATTATACATAAAATATACATGAATTATGCATATATTATATATCCATGGCTTATTTTTAGCTTAAGCGATTGTATTAACGGTTATTAAGGTTAATTCTTCTTATTTAGCAAATAATGGATTTTCAACTTTCGAGAATGCAATGTGTAACAAATATGTCAAGATTAAAGGACTTCCATTAAAAATACTTGCTCGGACTTGCGGTAACATCTTATATAGTTTTATCCTACTAGGACCTAAGAAATATTAGAGCAGAAATTATAAATTTATACTATGAAGATTTTGTCGGAAAAAAATCGAAGAATCCAAAAAAAAAACCCGAGAAAACCGAAAGACCCGAAAAAAATCGTGATTGAAAAATTCGACTTTTGTTGGTTTGTTTGGTCTGTTGTCATGATCCTAAAACTGACCCGGTAGTGATGGCAGCTAATGTGAAACTAGGTCAGCCGACACAAACCCCAAAACCAACCAGAAATTCATAATAAGTCATTTCAAGCCATTAATTAGCTAAAATCCCACAATATAAGTTAAAATAAGCAGTGCGAAAATATAACACAAGCCCGACATCGGGGTGCCACTAGTCATGAGCAACTACAAACTCGTCTAGGAACAAGAAAGGACAACATAGTCTGAAAACAAAATACTACAATAGTCTGAATAAGATAGGAAGGAGAAGCACTGGGTTGCGAACGCCAAGCAGCTACCTAGTCAACTCCGGGGATCTGTTGGAAGACTGATCAGCACTCACTATCGCGTCCCGAGACTCCTAGAACTGCACACAAGGTGCAGGGAGTAATGTGAGTATGCTAACTCAGTAAGTAATAAAAGTAAAAGCAACAGAGCAGTAAGAAAATAGGTAATTTCACGTCATAGCACTACGGCAAAACAGTATACGCCCAAAACATGACAGTAAATCAATAAAACTCGTAAAAACAACTCAGTTTAGTAAAACCTTTTTAAAACATCTTTCAATAGTTTCAAACGAGTGATGAAAACAGTAAAAATGATAGAAACGTAAACAGCCCATTGGGCAAAACATGTACCATAACCGCCCCTTGGGCAAAGTAACAAGAGAACCAGCCCTCGGGCTACCTCAAAATCACTTATAATCAGCCCCCTGGGCAACAACATGAAACAACAACAGCCTCTCGGACAATATCACATCTCTCACACTGGGTACCCGTGCTCACTAGGGGTGTTCAGACTCCGGAGGGGCTCCTACACCCCAAGAGCTATCACAAGCCATCTTATGGCATAACAAATCAGGCCCTCGGCCTCTCATATATCACAAATCAGTACATATGCAGCGGCGAACAGCCCGATCCCATAATAATCCTCATAACACAGGCCCTCGGCCTCACTCAGTCAGAAACCTCTCAAGCCACCCGGGAAACAGTAAAAACATGATGCTCAACCCAAAATATCATTTAAAATATCAAAACGGAGTAAATACAGCTGAGTTATGAAAATAATAGAATACAACATGAGTGAGTACAAATATGAAGTCACAACAATGAGGAATAGTAGTAAAAAGCCCCTAAGGGTCCAAAACAGTTGGCACGAGGCCCAAATATGGCATTCAACCCAAAACATGATAATACTTTCTAAAACACAATGACATCAAATAGTTTTCAATCAAATACGCGACTTAACAGTCGTACGGGACGGACCAAGTCACAATCCCAACGGTGCATTGTTGGCCTAAGATCAGTTGAAGTTTTGAAGAATGACAAACGAACTCAGTGAAGGACCAGGTTTATCTAAGGAGACACAGTTGTTATGGCCCATACACATGAGATGCACGTGAAGAAGATAAGTCCTTGAGATCAAGCAGCAATATCTTGATGAATATCTTCTGAACTGATCGAAAAGATTGCATATAGGATAAGGAGTTGAAGTCTCCTTATGAAAATAGAATTACATCCGGATCAAGGATATGGATTAGGAGTTAGAGTTGTTCTTGGACTCGAATTGTCAAAGGATCCACAATTCGAGTTCTTATCAAACTCTGATTACTAACTCTATAAATATAACGATTGTTCTCTTTTACAGGTGATTGCACATAAGCTGAAGTTAAACCAAATTGAGAGCAAAAGAGCTAGGCTATTGTTGCAAGCAATTTGTGTGTGATACAAGTGTGCAAATCTGAAGCTACAAGAACTAAGTGTGAAGAACCAATTCCATTATGTTTTTCTTTATTTCTAGTTCAATTGTAGTAGGTGTTTTAACATTGTACCTTTCCAGCTTTCTTAGAAGCAATTGTATTAGGTGCTTTGAGTATTCAAGTAAGAGTTAACTTGGAAGTGTCGCAACAGTTGAGGCTGTGTGCTACACTGGGATTAGAGTTAATCCTTAGGTTTACAAAGAGTTTTGTAAATGTTGTTTTTGGCTCATTGAAGCTTAGTGGAAGTTTGGGAAAATCCTACTGAGTAGTAGGTCGTGGTTTTTTCACCTTTTGAGCGAGGTGTTTTCCACGTAAAAATCTCTGTGTTCTTTATTTCTGTATTTTAATTCCGCAAACAGTAGAAGTTAGAACACCTAGAAGAACCAGGTTCTTCTAGTGCGAAAATTAGGTACCACACAAATCACCCCCCCTCTTGTGTGGGATTGACGTCTAAAACATCAATTGGTATCAGAGCAGGTTATCCTTGAAGAGGCTAACACCTTAGGAGAAGATCAAAAATGAGTGCACCACCTGGAAACTGGGAAGGGCAATCCACTGCCAGACCTCAACCTTTCAATGGTTTGTATTACTCTTGGTGGAAGAACAGAATGAGAGATCATATCATAGGGGAAGACTATGAACTTTGGGATATAATTATTGATGGTCCCCTAGCTACCACTAAGAAGAATGCAGAAGGAATTGATGTGCCAAAAACAAGGGCTGATTGTACTGCTGAGGATATGAAGAAATGGGAGAAAAATGCTAAAGCCAAGAAGTGGCTAGTGTGTGGTCTAGGACCAGATGAGTACAGCAGGATTCAAAGCTGTACAACTGCTAAAGAAATATGGGATACTCTACAAGTGGCTCATGAAGGAACACCTCAAGTGAAAAGGTCAAGAGGAACTCTTCTGTATTCTCAATACTAGATTCACTACTCTAACTAATGAGCTTAAATCTCTTGGAAGGACCATCCTTGAAGAAAACAAGGTTGAAAAGATTCTGACAAGAGTTCTGCCAGTCACTTGGGAAAGCAAGATCACTGCCATTCAGGAATCCAAGAATATTGCTACCCTTAGGCTGGATGAACTAATTGGGAACTTAACTGCCTATGAAATGAGGAGACAAACAATGAAGATGGAGACCCCCAAAAAGGAGAGAAGTTTAGCTCTCAGAATCACTGAAGGTGCAGATTTGGAAGATGATGAAGTAGCCATGATCACTAGGGATTTCAAGAAGTATCTGATGAGAGGAAAGGGTGCTTGAAGAAGTACAAACTTCAACAAAACAAGAGCTCCGGAGAAACAGATCAATGAAGGCTGCTACAAGTGTGGTAAGACTGATCACATGATCAAAAACTGTCCTCAATGGGAGATTGAGTGGAGGAAAGAAGATAGCTGATCACACATATCTTACTCTAGAAGAAAATTTAGGAAAAATGAAGGATGAATTATATAAGAAAGATGAATTCATCAAAATCTTAAAAGAAGATCTAGTAAAGGTAAAACATGAACTAGAAAGAACTTGCAAGTAGAACAAAGCATCTGATGCCTCTCTTGGTTGCAAGAGCATCATAGCAGTAACAAAAGAGGACTTGGCTATGGAACTCAAGCTCCTAAATGGGATCCAAAAAGCAAGTACCTCACTCTTCCTGAAAATAAAATCTGCAAACACTGTGGCAAGACTGGCCATTACAAATATGAATGCACTGAAAAAGAGAAGGCCAGTCAAAGGAACAGTCTTTTGTTAAAGAAAAGAATAAATTGCCTGAATGGGCAAGAAGGAATTTAATCCATCCTTTTGCCTATAGAAAGAGACCCAAACTGGTTTGGGTTCCTAAGACTAACCCCTGATTTCTTTTTGTAGGTTCAAGTGAAAGGGAGGAGCCAAATATGGTATATGGATAGTGGCTGCTCAAAACACATGACTGGGGACAAGGACCAGTTCCTTTCACTTGAGGACTTAAAAGGAGGTAATGTCTCCTTTGGTAATGGAAAGAAAGGTGAGATCATTGGGGTTGGTAAGGTAGGCAAGATTGATTCTCATTCCATAGAGAATGCCTACCTGATAGATGGTTTGAAATATAGCCTAATAAGTGTGTCACAACTGTGTGATAGAGGTAACCTTGTAGCTTTTACCTCCACCAAGTGCTTTGTGATTAATCTCATCACTGACAAAATTGTTTTGCAGGGAAAAAGAGTTAGCAATATTTACATTGTAGATTTGTCAACTCTTTCAGAAAATGAACTTACATGCTTAAGCGTGTTGGTAAATGATCCCCTCCTATGGCACAAAAGACTTGGTCATGCTAGTCTGAATCAGCTAAACAAATTAGTCTCCAAGGACTTGGTTGTAGGTTTACCTAACATCAAGTTCAAGGAAGACAAAGTCTGTGAGGCATGTGCAAGGGGGAAGCAGGTAAGGACATCCTTTAAAACTAAGAAAATGGTGAGTACGTCCAAG